TCTCTACCGCACAAAAAAGAACCCAAGACTTCAAGAGCTAAGGGGAGACCACTGGCATATTTTGCAACATGTTCAGAAAACTCAATGAAAACACCATTTGGTGCTGTCTCACTATCAAAAGCTTTCAAACTGAAAAGTTGAAGTGCCTCGCTGTCATTCAATGTTGAAGGCTTATGCACATCGTCAACTCGGTAAGATTGGAGCAAGTGTTCATCTCTTGTTGTTATAATGATTCTACTCCCTAAACCGAACCAATCATGCCTTCCAACCAAGCATTTCAAGTGCTGTATATTATCCACATCATCAATCACAACAAGGACCTTTTTGTTAGACAACCTATGGCTAATTATGGCATTCCCTTCATGAACATTGAAAAATTCGAAAACTTCACCAGACAAGATCTGGAAAAGAAGTTGTTTCTGTAGAGAAACGAGTCCAAATTTGTCTGAAACTTCTCGAACATCAGCAATGAAGCATTTACCTTCAAAATGAGATGACATTTGGTCGTATACAACTCTTGCGAGAGTTGTTTTACCGATGCCACCCATTCCGCAAATTCCTATGATGCGGATGTCATCTTCCCCAATCTCTATTTTTGAATACAACTCCTCCAAGCGTGAACTGATTCCAACCAAGTCATCATGAAAAACTGGATATGTTTGACATAATTTTGCTGATATTTTTCTAACAATGTTTCCAATAAATTCAGGTTCATGCCTACAAAGAAATAAATTTTAGTTGTTTTGAATAAATATTTTAAATATAGTTGTAATCGTTAAATTAATTAAACAAGAAAACAGGAAAGAAAAGAATGGTTTACCTGTTATTTAAATGCCATCCTTTGATGTTAGCCACTTGAGTCAAAGCATTTCGCCACTTTAGAATCTTTTCTTTATCTTCCTTGTACCTGTCTTCATGTTTGGTAAAGGCTTCTCCAACTTTTTCTTTCTGTTTTCTTAAATCAGATGGATTCACATCGTAGAAAATTGGAAACACTTTATGTCCTTTCTCGTTTTTCTGTTTAACAATCTCGGCAAGCTCCTCCAAGCACCAACCTGAAAAGGTATAGGTTTCCGAGAAAACTATTACCGAGCACCACGATTGTTGAATGGCTCTGACGAGTTGTGGTGGGATCTCTTCGCCGGCCTCCAGCTTTGGATCATCCATGAAAGTGACAATTCCACTCCGTTTCAGAGCATCGTAGAGATGACATGTAAAGTTTTTGCGGGTATCTTCACCTCTCAAACTCAAGAAAACATCATATTTCTTTCTAGAAATAGATGATGAAGTTGAAGGTAAGGACAACATGATGAAGTTTGAGAAGGAAAATATGTCTGAATATGGTGTTCAAAATCAGAAAATAGATCTCTCAATGCCCAGAAAGAAACTATAAACAATCAAAGTATAGGAGCATAGAAAAAGAGCAAAACAGATCAAATTCCCAAGGAAGCAGATTTGGGGTTATAGACCAGAAAATGAAGTATTTGACAAGGCTTTGTTCATAAACAGAAACTAGAGTTCAAAATAAATAGTTCTTGAACTCTGATAATATCCTATTCTATCTCCCGTCAATTGGTCCAACTTGGGGTTGGCTTCTATGGTGGATATTTTTTCTATAACCTAGTTATATCTTACTTGCCCTACTTTCCCACCACTTCTACGTTTCACATTTATCAATCTATATATTCAGAGAACATTAAGTTCTTGTATAAACAAATGATAGGGGGAAACTTGTCAAGTAAACATTAATTATGGTGTCCCACATTTGACAATTATTGCTTAGCTTATGAGCATCAAATCAAAGTCATTTGAGTAACTGCAGCTAGAGGAATTGATAATAATTTTACTAGTTCAAGCCATGATCAACCAGTACCTACAGGTGGAAAAAACATAATTAAAACCTTCAAAATGGTTGAAACTCAAGTCAAATTTGCCCTTAAATTTAGAAGCTACTTCACAACTCACCGTGTAGAAATCAGAAAAGAAAGATGCCCATCATCTACCCTGGTTTCCCTAATAATACAATGCTGGTGAATTACAAAACAGTAAAAGAAAATCTAATTAGCTTTACCTTTGATATCAGAATAGTGATTCGATTTGTAGCTCTTCCCAGAATTGTTGAATATCGTAGATTTAAAAACAAAAATGTATTGCCATACTTCATTGATTTACACTCTCACTGCCATAATCATCTTCTACTTTGCTCTGGTCCAAAAAAATGTCACCACCACCACTACCATCTGCATCCTCCTAGGGTAACAAGAACTTACGGTTGCATTGGGGACATTGATTTCACATTTGAGAAAATTAGAGATGAGTCTAATGGTTTGATTTTAATTGGATTTATATTTTTCTTTGAATTATGATTGAATAAATTTGGCCAAAATTATTGGATCAGAAAAAAAATATCATGCTCGTGTGAGAAATCACTTTCTTTTATTCCCTTTGGTTATATTTTGCACAGTTTTGCATATAATACAAGATCAAAGTCTCAAACACAATACATCGTATAGTTTGTCCTAGGGAAAGTGGAGAGCTTGAAATAGAATCAAAGCTAGCTAGTACCGGCATTACCATTGTCCAAGAATGGCTATGAACTCTTTTTATCCAATGATGAGGATGAGGACGAGAACGAATGCACAGAAGCGTCAAATCCCTCTGCGCTCCCATCAAATGCAGCCGGCGGCGTCAAATTTTCTGGTAAGTCAACCTCTCCATCAAGATACCTTACTAACTGCCTCATGTTTGGCCGTGCCGCAGGCACGTCATTTGAACAAATTAGGCCTAACTTAAGAACCTTCATCATATTGGCCTTTGAGCCTAGTGTCTACCACATCAAGGACCCTCCCTCGCCTAAACTTCTCCCATACCCAATCAACCAACACTAATTCCTCGGACAATGCTTTGAGATCAATATGCTTGCGCCCACAAGCAACCTCGAGCAAGAGTGCACCAAAAGCATAGACATCGGAGCATGTTGTGGCCTTTCCTGTCTTGGGCAGCTCCGGTGCTATATATCCCATTGTCCCTACAATTTGACTTGTCCCTGGATTTGAACCATGTTCATACAATCTTGCAAGGCCGAAATCTCCTAACCGTGCATTCAGCTCATCATCTAATAATACATTACTGGCCTTAACATCTCTATGAATCGCAATTTGTTCATACCCTTCATGTAAATAGAGAAGACCAGAAGCCACGTCCTTTATGATCCTAATTCTCTGGTACCAATTCAAGGTAGTTTTAGGGTCATCAAACAAAAACTTATCTAAACTGCCATTAGCCATGAATCATAAACAAGAAGAAGGTCACCTCTTCTCCTGCACCATCCCAATAGCTGAACCAAATTCCGATGTCGAAGCCTTCCGATACTAGAAATTTCTGTAACAAATTCACGTAAACCTTGCTTTGAATCATGAGAAACTCACTTGACAGCAACTTGAGTGTTTGAATTTCCAAGTGTTCCTTTGTAAACTCTACCGAAACCACCCCGTCCAAGTAAAGTTTTGTCGCTAAAACTGTTGGTTGCTTGCTTGAGTTCTCGGTAAGAGTATCTTTGTGGGCCAATCTCCAGCTCCCAATCTTCAACTACTTCTGCATTCTTGATTTTGATAATGACATAAATTGCAATGGAAAGAGCAATTATGACAACAGCAGATGAAATCGATACCAACTGTTAACGTTCTATCTTTTTTTGGTGGTCCAGGGAGTGAAGGCAAAGACGATAAATCAAGAGCCTTGTCCGTTGATCTTAAAGCTCCACCCTAACATATAATGAGAGTAAGATTGTGCTTTGTGGAACCACCTTGGGTGTGCTTTGTGGAACCACCTTGGGTGTAGTAACCAGCAGAGACTGAAGCATTTGAGTGCAAGTTGTTTATGTCAATACCGACATGATTGTCGTCCATGTCTCGAAACTCAAAATCCTAAACCGTGTCGAACTCAACTGCAACAAGATGGTTCGAGAAGTTACCCATATCGGTCGCGTTGAGGATTCCTAGATACTGATTTGAAGGTGCTCTTCGATCAACAGAAGTCGTGATTGTGAAAGCAAGGCCGTGACCACCAAACCTAGGAAACTCCGGAACTATGGCCAAAATAAATGAGGTTGAAAATGAAAAGGATGGGCCATTAGTAGAGTTCTTGAATCTAAATGGAGAGCTATAAAAAGCTTTACCCACTAAACGAGGGGTGTAATTAGTTAAGCGTAAAATACCATTTTGTTCAATATGTGACACCCCTGTTAATGTTAACTTGTTGGGGTCGTTTATGTGTCTGAATCCGGGGAAGAAGAACTCGGTGGGTTTTGAAGAAGAAGGTGAGACTATGAGGAAGAAGAGAGTTCAGAGAAGTGAGAGGAAATAAGCCATGTTAATGATACCAAAGAGTGAGATCAAGGCACTTGGATCAAAAAGGATATAAATTCTGGAAAACAATGGTGAGGACTGAGGAAGCAATAATGTACTTGAGAAGGCTCTGTACATCAACTAGAGATAGAGTTCAAAATAAATAGTTGTCCAACTTTGACATTTATCTTATTCAATCTATATATTCAGAAAACATTAATTTCTCTTGTAGGCTGATTTTTCCAGATAATGTTGATGATAATTTTATTTCGTAAAATAATGTTGTCTCGGAATTATTTCATCAAATAGGGTGATTGCTACAGTACACCCCAAAGATGCATTGCACTCCATGCATCCCTCCCCTTTCCCATCCCCTCCCCCGAAGACGTATTGCACTCCATGCGTCTCTCCCCTGCATGCACTCCCCCACATGCGCCCGTGACACTGCCCCTGCATGGCAGTCTGCATGCATGCTGCATGCAGTAATAACAGCTGCAATAATAGCAGCAATAATGCTGCAATCACGGTCTGCAATCACGGCCTCAGTCTCTTCATAAACATTATGTCTTCACTTTATAAGGGGACCTTCAGCTATTGATCCATCTGCGGCGGAATCTTCATTGATATCTTCCAAATCTTTCTATTCGAAGCCCACATTTCTTCACCTTAACACTTATGTGACTATCATCGGATGTGACTGAAAACTGGAGTTCATCAAATTCCTGATTTGAGCAATCCAATGTTGATGAGTTCTCAGTTTCACTATCACCACATTAATCCTCAAAGGAAAATGGATATAATCTTTCACGGAACAAAAAACAACAATAAAGGTGGTCCTTTATTATGGGCTGGTTATATTCTTTAGAAAAAATCCGGCCGTCCCCTGAGACACGTCGAGGATTTCTACCCCGAAAACCAGATCCATCAGAATCAGCTTGTCCAGAATTCCTATGATGGATAACAGCATCACATGTGAGTTCCTCATCCCTTGAAGCATCATCATTGACAAAAATGCAGCAGAAAGCAACTCCCATCCATTGACTATCATTCTGAATATTGTTAGGCAGTGGTATCTTGATTGAAGAGCAAACTGTTTGATGGTTAAACCATTTTGGGATTTCACCTCCGGGCATAACAACATCAAAACTTTTTCTTAAACATACAACTATCTGCAAAATAAAATGTTGTTTGGTAACTAATACTGTAATTCTTCAAGAATGAGATTATGTAAATACAAAGAATGATAAATCGACCTTAAGAAAGATTTTCAGCATTGTTAATGCATTGATATTCTCAACTATTTTGTAGCAGTGAAGACCATTAAACCGTGTCAAATCCACTGCATTGCAAACCTTTGATGGAGTTGCAAATAGTTCTAGACAAGCACCAAGACTAGGAAACGATTTAAGCTCCCTGCAATTTGACAATCCAAGATATTGAAGACTGGGAAATCTAATAACAGACACAGGTACGCTGATGAAATTGTTACCACCTAGCTCAAGCTTTTCCAAATAGGGTAAACAATGAATATCACTTGGAATATCTCCTTCACGACGATTGCAGTTCCTTAGTTTCAGCTCTCTTAATGAAATCAAACCTGACAGTACCTGGAAAAGAGAAGGTAGATTTGGTGCTAACTTAGATGATGATATCTTGAGCCTATTCAAAAACAAAACTTTAAGATTTTTAAGTTGAAAAATGAAGGATGGCGGTTTTGCTATGGCAGTTTCACTTAAGTCGAGGTCTTCCAACAACTCTATTTGCTGCAAATTCTCCGGCAAATTTTCAACTTTATAGCAACCTGAAAGATCAAGAGTTTTTAGACATTTACACCCACCAATGCTGCTTGGGAGACTAATAAGGTTTCTACAATCTTTTAGGATTAATGTTTCAAGAGATTCTATTCCAATTTTGGTTGGAAGATTCCTAAGACTTGTGCAGCTTCTTAAATTCAGAAGTTTAAGCCTTGAAAGAACTCCGACTGATGGATGAACATCTACTATTCTTGTACAACCTTCCAATATCAAAATTTCCAGATTTGGGGCTGTTGTAAAGTCCGGTGTCTTGATCAGGTTGTCGGACCCTTTAGGTTGAGCACTTTCAACTTATACAGGGGCTGCTGAAAATAATAATAAATTTGAGAAGATTTAGTTAATATTCCTAAAATAAGTTAAAAAACAATGATCATATGAATTAGTTCTTACCGTATTTCCCCTCCATAGTTGTTCAATGCGACTGTATGGTAGCAGAAGTGCAACAAGGTTGTCTGGTTGGAAGCTTGGAGGTAAGAATCTTAAAGGGTATCCCAACCAATCTAAGAGCCGTAACTCATTAGGAAAATATTTGAGTTCATCACAATTTGAGAGGCAAAGGACTTTGAGCAATCTCAATTTTTTCATCTTCGAGAAAACATTAACATTCAAATTGAGCATCTTGTTGGATATCCTGATAACCAAGGGTAAAACAACGAAAATTCAGTTCAAATTTGAAAATATCCCAAAGCATTTCATACCTAAAAGCAAGGCTGCTCCAACACTTAATTTATCTATGCTCCGTCAAGCACTCGTATCCCACACATCCGAATAGAAACATAGAGATGATTCTTCAAGGATTTTCAAAATAAATTAGAAAAACTAAAAGTACAGTGAGTAAAATAATAGAGTATAACTCGACGAGGAACGGAGTGATAGAAGAAAACTTTAAGGGTCACTTTCGACCGAATATGAAATTTACACATGGGTGCATGTTTATGTATGTCTTCCTACCTTTTATTGTCAATGATCATGCCTTCAATCACTTCCGTAGCCTAAAAACATTCAAAAGTAAGACATAAGAAACACAAAATAAAATGAGGCAATTTTTGTGATAAAACTAGTGAAAAATTACATTGTGTGTATCATTTCTGTCTTTAACATTAATATAATATGCAATTACCCTGGAATGACTTACAGTGTTCTTCGTTAGCACGTGATATACATCATTTTCCTCCCACAATCTACAACGTTTTCCAGGCTCCTCAATAGATTTTTCCCGAACAATTCTTCTTCCCATTTCTTGTAGTAAGTTATGCATCCACAATTTGTTGTTTTCGTCAACTGTTAGTAGAGACTTCTTAATGAGAACATCGATTCCAATATCCGGGAAAAACTCACAGCCATCCAATACTTTCATTACAAAATCTTTCTCGTCCCCATTGAAGAACCATGTTATATCTAGAAATATGTTCTTCTCTGCTTCTTCCAATCCATCAAAGCTAATTCGAAGTCTGTCCATAATCTCTTCGTTAGAATCCTTTTCAAGTCTTTGGATTGCACTTCTCCATTGAGCTACATCTCTACCGCACAAAAAAGAACCCAAGACTTCAAGAGCTAAGGGGAGACCACTGGCATATTTTGCAACATGTTCAGAAAGCTCAATGAAAACATCATTTGGTGCTGTCTCACTATCAAAAGCTTTCATACTGAAAAGTTGAAGTGCCTCACTGTCATTCAATGTTGAAGGCTTATACACATCATCAACTCGGTAAGATTAGAGCAAGTGTTCATCTCTTGTTGTTATAATGATTATACTCCCTAAACAGAACCAATCATGCCTTCCAACCAAGCATTTCAAGTGCTGTAAATTATCCACATCATCAATCACAAGGACCTTTTTGTTAGATAATATGTGGCTAATTATGGCATTCCCTTCATGAACATTGAAAAATTCGAAGACTTCACCAGACAAGATCTGGAAAAGAAGTTGTTTCCGTAGAGAAACGAGTCCAAATTTGTCTGAAACTTCTCGAACGTCAGCAATGAAGCATTTACCTTCAAAATGAGATGACATTTGGGCGTAAACAACTCTTGTGAGAGTTGTTTTAGCGATGCCACCCATTCCGCAAATTCCTATGATGCGGATGTCATCTTCCCCAATCTCTATTTTTGAATGCAACTCCTCCAAGCGTGAACTAATTCCAACCAACTCATCATGAACAATTGGATATGTCTGACATAATTTTGCTGATATTTTTCTAACAATATCTCCAATAAACTCTGATTCATGCCTACAAAGAAATAAAATTCAGTTCATTTTTATAATTATTAAATTAATTAAACAAGAAAACAGGAAAGAAAAGAATGGTTTACCTGTTATTTAAATGCCATCCTTTGACGTTAGCCACTTGAGTCAAAGCATTTCGCCACCTTAGAATCTTTTCTTTATCTTCCTTGTATCTCTCTACATGTTTGGCAAACGCTTCTTCAACTTTTTCTTTCTGTTTTCTTAAATCAGATGGATTCACAACGTAGAAAATTGGAAACACTTTATGTCCTGTCTCGTTTTTTTTGTTTAACTATCTCAGCAAGCTCCTCCAAGCACCAACTTGAAAAGGCATAGGTTCCTAAAAAAACAATTACCGAGCACCACGATTGTTGAATGGCTCGGAAGAGTTGTGGTGCGATCTCTTCACAGACATCCATCTTTGGATCATCCCTGAAAGTGATAATTCCACTTCGATTTAGAGCATCATAGATATGATCTGTGAAGTTTTTGTGGGTATCTTCACCTCTATAACTCAAGAAAACATCGTATTTCTTTCTAGAAATACATGATAAAGTTGAAGGTAACAATGACATGATGAATTATGAGAAGGAAAATTTTGGGGTTATAGATTTGAGATTGATTTGTATTTGAGAAGGCTTTGCTCATCAACAAGAAATAATAGTTCTCAAACTCTGATGTTATCGTATTCTATCTCCCGTCAATTGGTCCAAGTTTTCTTTCAAAGTAATGTGGCTGCTGGCTATGATTTGCATTTTCCACGCTTTAGTTCAATGCGTATACTCGGGGCTAGCTTCTATGGTTGATATTTTCCCCCATAACCGAGACATGTCATACTTGCTCTACTTCCTATCACTTTCTACGTTTCAAACTAATCAATCTATAAATATTAAGAGAACATTAATTCATTGTATAAGAAAAATGATAGAGGGAGACTTGTCTATTAAACATTAATTATGAAGTCCCGCATTTGACAAGCATTGCTTCAGTTATGAGAATCAAATCAAAGTTAAGAGTTACCCAGTCATTTCTTTATGGAGAAGAAGGTAAACTTTGATTTCCAAAGTCATCTGAGTAATTGCAGCCATAGGAATTGATAATAACTTTACAAGCCTAAGGAAGTAACTTCAGTTCAAGCCATGATCAACCAGTACCTACAGCTGAAAACACATATTTTAAACCTTCAAAATGGTTGAAATTCAAATCAAATTTGCACTTAAATTTCGAAGATACTTCACAACTCACTGTGTAGAAATCATAAAAGAAAGATGCCCAACATCTACCGTGGTTTCGCTAATAATACAATGATGGTGAAATAGAAAACAGTAAAAGCAAAGCAAATCTAATTAGCTTTACCTTTGATATCAGATTAATGATTCGATTTGTGGTTCTTCCAGGAATTGTAGTATTGTAGATTTAAAAACAATGATGTATTGCCATACTCACTGCCATCGTCTTCTACTTTGCTCCGGTCAAAGAAAATGTCACCACTATCAGCATCCTCCTCCTAGGGCAACAAGAACTTATGATTGCATTGGGGCCATTGAATACACATTTGAGAAAATTAGAAATGATTATAATGATTTGATTTTAATTGAATTAATATTTTTCTTTGCAATTATGATTGATTATGTTAAAAATATTTTTATGTTTCGATATAATAAATTAAGATAAATGAATTTTAAGATTTTACAAATGATTTTCTAAGTATATTCGATACAATTATCCGAATATCAAAATATTACTCCGAGTCTTTCAAAGTTCAAATTCAATCCTTACTAAAGTGTAAAATTGTGTTTTTTTACTTAAAATATTTTTGAAACAATTTTTCACAAAGTATTTCGAACAAAAAATAGCCAAAAATCAATTTTATGAAGGGATTTATCGATGCACTCATTTGATGCATCGATGCTCACCCATTTCGAATGCAATTTATGCACCGATGCACAGTCATGCATCGATGCACTCTGGATTTTATTAAAACATCGAATTGATTCTGTGCACCGATGCACAAGTCATGCATCGATGCACCCGACTATTTTTGAAACATCGAAGCAAATTTGTGCACCGATGCACACCCTAGTGTACCGATGCACTAAGTCTTCCAACGGTCGAAATATTTGAATTTTACACATAGTGTATCGATGCACAAAGTCTATGCATCGATGCATCATACGCTCCCATCTGTTTTATTAATTGTTTTCACACAATAGCGGCTCTATTGACTCCACTAATGATCCCCAACGTTCAGAAGTGATCCAAGGTGTATTTAAACAAGCTTAGGAGCCATTGATCAGTAACAATTATCAAGAATCAAGAGAGAATCAAAGAGAAAGCATCAAACCTCAAGTTTGAGCATTTTCAAGCCTATTTCATTCAATATTCATTTTTACTTTCAAGACCACTTATCGTGCTCAATTGTATTATTCTTGAGTATTCTTTCTTTGTTCTAGAATTGTGCAAACATCTTGCATTGTGAGGATTTTCTTGTAAGTTTGCAAAATTTGTATTGTTCTCTTTGGGAGTGAGTGTTCTCAAGAATTTGGGATATAATTCTTGAGGGATTTGTAAGGTTACTCTTTGTCCTCAAAAGAAAGACAAAATAGTGAATTTATGGAAAATCCTTAGTGTGGATAGCTAAGGTAGGACGTAGACTTTGGTTGAGAAAGTCGAACCACTCTAAATCGCTGTGCAAATATTTTCAATTTTCTGCAAAAGCTTCCACCGAAATTTTTATTGCCAATTCACCCCCTCTTAGCCGATTCCATCGATTGATTAACTTAACAATTGGTATCAGAGTCTCACTCATTTGAAGGTTTAATCGCTTATTGAGTCTATTCGGGAAGAGTTACATCTATAATCAAGTCATCAATGGCCTCTACTTCAAACCACGATTTCGGTCTTAATTCATTGCCCGTCTACAAGCATCCTTTCTTCAATGGAGCTAATTATACTTATTGGAAGAATAGAATGATGTATTTCATTCAAGCAAGTGACATGGGAGCATGAAATATCATAGAAGACGGATATATCAAACCTTCCACTCATCCAAGATTGTGGAGTGAAGGAGAGACAAGAATGTTCCAGCTCAACTCCAAAGCTATCCATATTATCTTTTGTGCTCTTGGACCGGATGAATACGAGAGAGTATCATCTTGTACAACCACCAAGGAAATATGGGATAAACTACAAGTCACTCATGAAGGCACAAACGAGGTAAAAGAATCCAAAAATTAGTCTTCTAACTCATAGCTATGAAAATTTCAGGATGAAACCGGATGAAGATATCAAAGCTATGACGGATAGATTTTCCACGATTGTCAATGATCTCAAATCATTTGGAGAGATCATTCCAAATGAGAAGCTTGTGAGAAAGTTAGTTTACTCTCTTCCAAAATCTTGGCAATCAAAGAAGACGGCGATCATCGAGGCTAAAAATTTAAAATCTTTAACTCTCGGTGAGCTAATTGGTTCTCTCCTCACTCATGAAATGATGCTTCAAGATGAGGTAGACCTCGAAAAGACAGATGAGATAAAGAAAGAGACGGAGAAGAAGAAGAACGTGGGAGTTACTCTCAAATCCACAAAAGATGAGAGTGATTCGGATGAAGATGGTGATGACGAGGAGATGGCATTATTTGCCAAACGGTTCAGAAAATTGATGAGGCCCAACCGAGGAAGAAAATTCAAACGCAATGAAGGCTTCAAAAATGAACCGAATGAGAAAGACCCTATCATTTTCTATGAGTGCAAAACGCCAGGGCATGTCAAATATGATTGCCCTCTATTAAAGAAAAATGGTCAATCAAAGAAGAAGCACAAGACTCATATGGTACATGGAGCAATGAAGAAGGTTCCGATGAAGAGGAACAAGAAGTTGCAAACTTGTGCTTGATGGCCATCGGGGAAAACTCTCAGGTAACCTCTAACTCATTTGATTTAGATGATTTATCTTATGATGAGTTATTAAATGATTACAATGGGCTGGCTTTGGATTATAAGACTTTATTTTCAAAATATAAAAATGATATTTCAAAATTGAAAAATGAAAATAGTCTTATGTCCAAAACCAACAACGATCTTGAAAGTAAGATCAAAGAATTGCAAATCAAATTAGATGAATTTGAAAAGAAAAATATTGATTTGCATAACTTGCTTTCAAGAGTACGTGATGATCATCAAAAGAAAATTGATGATCTTAAAACTTCCTTTAATAAAGTTGGAACAAAACGTTTTGAAAATAGAGAAAATTCAAAATCCAACTTTGTTAGAAAAAGTTTTAAAAACTACAATCATAGAGGTCCCTGAAGAACCTCTAATGGAAAAATCGTTAGAAGTATATGGGTTCCTAAAGAACTCATTACTACTAAAGATAAGGATATCCTACACAAATGGATACCTAAGGGGACTAGAATTTTGGAAACTAATGAATATGGACCCAAAAGAAATTGGGTACCTAAAATCAAAAATTAATCTATGTTTGTAGGAAAAGGAGTATTGCTACAAGGCACGGGAAAAAATTCAAATTCATGGTACCTTGATATTGGATGCTCAAGACACATGACCGGAGACAAGAACCGGTTCATAGAGCTTAACGCCAAAAATGGAGGAGAAATGATTTTTGGTGATAATTCAAAAGGTCACATTGAAGGAATAAGCACTATAGGTAATACCTCTTCCATACAAATTCAAAATGTTTTATATGTGAATGGGTTAAAGCATAATCTATTAAGTATTAGTCAATTTTGTGATAAGGGATTCAATTTCATGTTTGAAACTAATGGTTGTAAAGTCATTGACATTGCATCTAATCGGATTATGCTTGTTGGTCATATAATAGGAAACATATACATGATGCATTTAGATTCTATAGATATGACTAATTTATGTCTAGTTGCTAAGGATGAACATGATAGTTGGAGACTAGGACATGCTAGTATGAGTGTTTTGTAACGGTTAATTCAATGAGATTTAGTTCGAGGGTTGCCTAAACTAAAATTTGATAATGATAAAATCTATGATGTTTGTGCTAAAAGGAAAACAAAAGCGAGTTTCTTTTAAATCCATTAATGACGTATCCACTAGTAGATTATTACAATTGATTCATTTAGATCTTTTTGGGCCATCTAGAACAACTAGCTTGGGTGGAAAACAATATGCATTTGTCTTGGTAGATGACTATTCTTGATATACTTGGATTCTATTCTTAAGTACTAGAGATGAAGCATTAGAAAAATTCATCACTTTTTCAAAAGTAATCCAAAATAAAAAAGGTTACTCTATAACTAGTGTTCGGAGTGATCATGGAACTGAATTTGAAAATCTTGGATTTACTGAGTTTTGTAATTCTAATGGTATTAGCCATAATTTTTCAGCACCTAGAACCCCTCAACAAAATGGAGTTGTTGAGAGGAAAAATCGAACTTTAGAAGAAATGGCTAGAACCATGCTTTGTGAAAATAATTTGCCAAAATATTTTTGGGCAGAAGCCACA